ACTCGGGCATGGTGGGTGCCTTCCCCCACCCCGCGCTCCCTGAATACAAACCCGCGGAGCTTTTCGTTGCACAGAAGTGATCCTGCTTCGTTCCACCTCCAGGGAATCACGCCTGCAAGGTGTGACGTCCTCTGGGAAGCAATGGCGGCGGTAAGCATAGCTGTGTGCTGCGAGGATCCTTTCCAACGACACGCGAGCATGGCTGAACGGTGGACACATACCCAGCTTGCTGTGTTTGCAGTTGCATCCGTGAAAAATTCTTTAAAAAACCCAGGGTATTGGTATTTGGACGCTTGGCTGAGCCAGAGCAAATAATCCAGAGCGATTTTCTGGATGTGTGTATCAGTAAAGTGTCGCACCATTACAAAGCTGGTGAACGAGCAGCAGCTGGGATCTGGTGCCCTCTTTTTGGCAGCTGTTGTGTGTTTGTCGGTAGTCAGTGTGATGTGCCGAATCCACGTGCTGTTCAATAGTGCCCGTGCTATGTTTTATGAAGTACTGTTGGGTTTCTGCTTTTCTGTAGATGGGCAGACTTGAGCCATCGTCAGTGGGTTGACATCGAGGAATTGTGTGGGGGTGGTAAAGCTGGGACCGGTGCTGAGACTACCTAGCTAAAGGTGTCGTGTAAACGAGTGGGTTTTCCAAGTTTGTGCTTCGCTGTCCTTTCATAAGCCCTTGGGCTTTTTCAGGCACCTTTCTCCATATCTGGTTTGTTTTTTCCTGGCTGGAAGACATTTAAAGTGTGTGTGGTGGTGGTGTAAGACCCCTGACATGATGCTCTTGCCTATCAGCTGTCTGGTTCGTGGTGTGAACCTCCCAGATATGTTGTAGATCATCTACATGATGATGTAGATGATGTAGATTAATACCTAATTAAGGTTTCTGGGAGTGAAGGAACGGCGGGGCAATCTGAGCACGCTTGCCCCAGCAATATCTCATACCACGTGCGTGTTCAGCTCGGGTGAAGTCACGCTCGAACAGAAAACACCTGACGAGCTGCTCCCCTTCTCCGCACAGCGAGCGTGTGCCTTTGTAGCGTGGCGGAGATGCTGCTAGAGGCATGGAGTTCAATCCCACGGGATTTGTTCAGCGAGGCTCCCGGTGCCTTCAACAGAAGCCATGCCTCTGGGGAGCCAAAAAACCGGTGTCAGATCAATAGATGCCATCTTCAGAGGCTTTGGAGAGCTTCCCCCGTGCTGCTGCCAAGTGGATAGGGTTCAGAGGATGTGCTAGTTCATCTTGCTGGCTGAAGATGCTTTCAGTTTATGAAAAATGTGTAGCTTTCTTCCTACCTTGTTTTTAATACAAACTACTGCTCTTGAAATGCAGTTGGATGGTTGAGCATTGGGCTTTCTCCAGTTGCGGTAGGTTGGGAGATGTAGAGAGTATTTATAACAGAGCACACACCAATACAAAAGTCAAAGTAGCTTTGTAATTGCATGCAAAGCAAGGGAAGGCTCAGGCAAATCTTAAATACAAGGGAAATTGTGGTTGTTGAAAAGAAGAAATATGTAGTACCATCACTGTGATTGCTGTTCGTTTCATGTTTGTCTTCTGTAATGCTTTAATTGGTTTGTCTTGCTTAGTGTTGCCATTTTGTAGCTACTAAGGAATACTTGAGGGGGAAAAAAGAGCTGCGAAAATGGCTAAAAATGGAGATGAAGGCCAAGGTGCATGCTCTCAGACCTCGGGCGTGCCAGAGGAAAAGTGCAAATACCATCTGAGTCAAGATGCAGCGGTGGGATCTCTAAAAAGCAAGTTGTGTCATAGTGCAGCAACTTGTCTGGACAGAGCTCAAGAAGGTCTGTAGATAGCCCTTAAAGCATGAACCCTGCAGGGTCGCTCTGAATTACTTGGGAATCTGGTATTTTGGGGGTCTTTCTTGCAGGAAAGATGCTTCGTTATTTGTAAATGGGATGTGCTAAGAAAAGGGGCAGGTTTCTGGCTGCGCTGAGACTGGGTGTTGCAGAATTGGTGCTGATTTTGCCAGATCACGTGGCACTTCATCCAAAAATGAATCGGAAGTCAAATGCAGTGCTAAGCGGCACTTCTGCAAACATCTTAGGGTAATGCAAGCTGTTTAGCTCTAACATGCTTCATGTAGCCCTCGTCTGCCCCAAACAGAGCCAGTGGCACCCTTTTTTTGTGTGTGAAGCTTCCCAGAGCCAGGTTTCTTTATAGCCTATAGCAGAGATGTTCTGCTGCCAAGCTAATTAACAGAAATGCCACTGCTGGTGGCAAAACCTAAACCTCAACACTAGCCTTGGGTACTAAAGCCTGTTTAGAAAACTGCGATAAGGTGTCAGGGAAAGCAGATTGGGCTGTCTTTTTATTCATTTCCTGCAAGAATAACACCAGATGCTTCAGATGGGCGCTGGAGGTGGGACGGAGAGGAGGGAAGGTCGTGCCCCTCTGGAGCCCCCCCGCGTTTAATATGTTTTTTCTGTTTCCCTGCTATCTGGATATCAGCCTGTGAAAGGTTAATCCCATTCCCCCCGTTCAAGGCTGTGCTGGCTGCTTGGAGGGCCCATTCTGTAGCAATTAGAACAAATGAGCCCCGTATTAGCTAGGTACGGTGCCGAAATAGTATTTTTCGTTTAATAAAAGAAGGCAGAGTTAAGAGGAATTTGTCTCCTCTAGCTGAAGTGGTTTTGGTGCTCATTTGGTTGCATGGGTAGGAGAAAGCAGGCTGTTCCTTAGGAAGTAGGGCAGGGTGCTGGCTTAAAATAGCAATGAACGCTGGGCTGCTTGTGATGAAGGGAGCTATTTAGGTAAATCCTGGGGTCTTGGTGGGGGCAGAGCCGCCTGCTAATCTAAAGATACTCCTTGGAGACCTATATTTGTCCGGGATCCTTCCCAGCTTGGCTGGTTTTCCAGGTGTTCCCTGTTCGATCCCTTGCGCTCCTCTGCAGATTGCGTTGGGATGGCGGGTGTGTTTACTAGACGTACAGTGCGTTAATGTCTTGGATGGTAATGGAATTAGACACCATTAAGCAGCAGGAGCGAGGAAACAGGCTACATAAAGGCATCAGCATTATCCTATAATGCAAGACTTGGCTCTGAACGGCTCTTGGAGGCCAGTCTGTCAGGCTCACGGTGCTGAAGAAGCATATGCTGATGACACTTGAGAGCCGGGTCAAGTGTACTGGGAAAACCCTTCAGGGCAGGGAGCTTGGTGTAGGGGCAGAGGGAGGGATGGGGAGCAACTCTGCACCCGGAGCATCTCTGGTTAGGACGGCATGGACCACAGGTGAGATGGAGGATGAAGGGTGGGTGCTCCTGTGTGCAGAGGGCGCTCAAAAGCGGTAGGAAAAAGAAATCTCAGTGCAGCTTTTAAAGATTTCGCTGGCAGGGAGGAGGAGTGTCAGGCTATCTGGGCTGCACTCTGACTTCAGCCCTCCAGCCTCCGAAGGAAAACCTCGCTGCTGTCTCTAGCTGCAGCATCTCCAGCTGTGAAGCCTTAACAGGATCTCGCTGTGTTTCCATTAGGAGCAGAGGTGGCTGTGAGCGTGTTGAGTAACGCGACCTCCTCCAGCTGGGAGCCTGGGTACGCCACCGTGAGAGGGCTTGTGGGGTTTATCTCTCCAGAAGTCTTCATCAATCCTCCTGGCTTCTGAGTGCTTCCCCCCCTTTTAGTGAATACCTTTGCAATGGTGGTGGCTGTAAGACGTGAGTTTAAAGCACTTTCCCTGCTCCGAGACGGATCTGGTGAGAGCGTGCAAGGATCTCCTCCCCTGTGTAAGACAAGTGGTTCAGGGTGAACTTCAGGAAAACAGGGAGAAGTGGTGTCAACAGCGATCCCAGTAAGAGTCTTCGGTTCCCTAGCCTGCTCTAGAAAATATTCCCTTTTATCAGTTGCTGAGGTGTAGCGAACGTGGTAAAATGGCTTCTCAAACAGCAGTGAGAATATTATCCCAAAGGTGATGTGTCAGATATATATTGCAAAGGTTTCCCGGAGGAAGACCCTGAACAGCGGTGCAGAGAACTGGTTTTGCTGTTTCAGCGATAACTGGGGGCTCCTGTCATCGAGCTCGGTCCCTGGCACATGAGGGTCTGTGAAGCTGCTCTGAAAGCATTGCTAGAACTTATTTAGCCCATTTATTGGGCTACTTACTCTTTGGTTTGCAAGAAAGCTGCTCTGGCTGATCTCCAGTGTGACCGCTGGGAAGATTTTAATTAGTTTCCAGCTCCCTTCAGACCGTCTGCACCTCTGTGTGGTTATAAGGTGATATGTGGGCATAAATGTCAAACATTGGAGTAAGCGCATTGCAAGAAATGTTCTAACCAGCGCTGTTTTGATCCAGTGCGAATGCAGCTGGGTTGAAGCATTAAGGCGTGAGATGGGAAGGGAAGAGAAACTGAGGCCTCTATTGTGTGTGAATTGGTCTTTTTTTGCTGCGGTGGGGATTGCAAGTGGCTCAAATGCTCATTTATCCATGATGTGACCGCCTTTTGCTGGACTTGATGAAACAGTCACTTCTCCAAGGGCCTGCAGGCTGGGCTCTGCGTGCTTCCACCACGGTGCTTGGGCACCAGCCTGAGTGTTTCTGGGTGTTATTTAGTTTAGGTTTCCCATGTGGATTCCTGCCTACATCGTTGTCCTGAGCGAGGTCTTGGAAGGACGCAATGTGCAAAATTGTGTCTGCTTAAAGTAGCTTTAAAAACTGGAGCCAGCACCCTCCTCCCCTGCCGCTGCCGGTGGCAGGGTCAGATTTACATTCGCTAGCAGGTGGGGGATTTGCCTTTGACACAAAGACCCCGCTGTTCTTGTATTAATGATCTATTAGTGGACGCGCTGGCAGCTTGCTAACCTTGTGAAACAGGTGGTGAATTTCCCTGCCTGCTGACATCTAGGAATCCCCTCCCGTCTCCTTTGGTGAGCTCACTTTTTTTTAAGTAGCTGCAGCTGTTTGCTGTAGACATCGGCCTTTTTCTTTTCCTTTTTTCTTTTTCACTCAAGCTTAGCAGTGACCCCCTCGAGTCGGCTGAGAGACCGTCCCACCGATGGACCTGTTGAGAGGAAGACGCCAGGTTTGCTGTGGGTCGGTGTGCTGCTGAGTGATTATTTCGTAGGAATACGTATATTTTTAACTGCTGGAAAGTCTATAGAGCTTGAGGGTCTCAAAAGAGATTTTTTTTTTTTTCCAGGCTGGCATTGAGGGCTTATGTGCTCTCCTTGACAGTAGCTGGTGAGCTGGCACTCGGTGATGTAAGGAGCCCGCGTCCCCAGCAGAGGACTTGGCTTTGGACAGATTGTCTCAATGACAATCCCAGGCAAATCCGCATCAGTGCTGGTCATTAAGAGAGGGACCTACGCATAGCAATGCGGGCGCTGGAAACTTGACGGACCTTGCAAGCAAGTACAATTTTAATGTCTGCATTGCTCCCAAGGAGGCTGAGGAAATTCAGTGCCCGACGAGGGCATTTTTGAGACAGTCTCCGAGCCGCAGAGCGCTTTGGCAAGAGCAAGACTAACACTGCAGCGTGGATCTGGGTCTCGGCTGCGGCCGAGGTTCGGCTTCGTTTTCGGTGGCAGGGCAGGAACCCCGGCGTGAGGAACCGATTGATGCGGGGAAAGCTTTGCGGGCGGCTCTCCTGGCTGAGAGCTGGGTGGCTGATGTGCGGTGACAGTCTTAAGTCGCCTCTGTTCTAATTAAATACTCCCAGTTTTAATCTCACCTGGCTCCTTGAGGAGCGTGGAGAGGGAGCAGAGTGCCAGCTCCACCTCGTGGGTCGGCAGCCCGGCAAGGGGCCATCGTAGCTGCCTCTGGGCTTGCCTACCGTGGCAATCCTTGGCACACAACTCTGTCGGTGAACCCTCCTTGAGTAGCCGCAGTTTACTTTGGCAAAGGCACCTCTTTTTTTTTTCCCTAGTCTGATAACAGTACTGTCGGTGCTAGATGTTTTGCCAGCAGAAGAACAGTTTAAGGATAATTACCTTCTATCCCGATTAAAATTTTTAGGAGTCCATGAGCACAGTTCAGGTAGCTATAGGTTTTAGGGGCTGTATGGCTTCCAAAATGCACAGATGGACTTTGATTTAGGTAGCTTTTATGATTTTCTAGTCTCTTGGCATTGCATTTAGTATTTCTGCGGGTCCGTGGGAGCTTTAAGCGTGGCCTGGGTTATGCTCGTTTGGCACACATTAAGTTTGTATTTGCATTTTGCTACACAGGACTGTCACTTGCTTTTTTTGGAATTAAATGCACCTGGCTTCTGCATAGACTGTGTGTGCCAGATTCTAGTAACCGAGAGTCAACGTGGCCTCAAAATTTGGGTGTTACTCCTTGAATGACTGAAAGGTAGTTGATAAGGTAAAGACAGATTTGCTGAGGGGAATGGTTCAGTTGATTAGTCTTTCTCAGTTTCACTCAACTCTAGTATTGTGATGACTGTGTCTCTCCCCTGTTGAAGAAATCATCCGGCTTGGTAGAATTTGGTGTACAATACAGATATTTTTAGGTTTATTGTGAGGAGATATTCTGGTTGACCTACAAAAAGGAATCTGGCTCAAGGTAAGGAGCAGAGCGAGCTCTCTGGACCAGTTGCACACTGGGAGGCTGGCTTGAGCTCCAGCAGCACAAGCTCTCACTAGTTTCGGATAAAACTGGGGCGTTATGAACTGCATTTAATGCTCCTCTATATTTGAAGGAGGTACCATTCAGTAGGAATTTACACTTGCAAAATGGATGAGAAAGATACCCGAAGTCTTGTGTGCCAAATACTCTCTGTTAACGGGGACGGGGCGTGTGATGGTTTTGGTTGATGCTCAGCGCAGGAGCTGTGTGCAGGGCTGGGTCCTCCTGCAGCTCTTCCAGGGCTGAGAAATAAAACTCTTTTTTTTGCTCCATTCTGTGCGTGCTTGGAGCCTCTGCAACCCAGGGTCTCCTACTCATCGTGGAAAAAGGAAAATTGCTACCCTCAGAAGAGTAGAAAGAACATGCAAAAGTTTGGAGGAGGGCAGACAGAAATGGCAGTAGTAATCTTTTCTAGCTCTTGCTGCGTTTATGCAAGGAAGGTGTTTGCTTTACTTGCTGACCCTTCTGAGATATTAATGTTATTTATGTTAGCGCAATCCAGTGGCAAGGGGAGAAGTTAGTTATTTTCTCAGGTGGTAGGAGGCTGGAGGAGCAATACATTTGCTCCACTTCGTGATCACTTTCTTTCCACATAGCTTCTGTAGCTGGAGAGCAGTAGTTCTCTGACACAGCAGGGTCAGGGCGCCTGTGCCAGCACTGCTTCAGACCGAAAAATGACACAAGATTGTTTGTCAGGGCTTGGTCCAGGCTTTGAAAAATTGGTATCAAGCATACATCTGTTATTGCAGACTCTCATGTAAACTCGCCCTGAAGCACCCCAAGGGAGAGAAAATTTCATGCAAACCAGTGTAGGGATTCTTAAAGCAAAGACATCTTGGCATTTTATGACCAGAAATTTGTGTGGTTCATAATTTCAAGAAAATAAAGATTATTCCATGGAAAATTGGGTAGTTGCTACTAAATATTAGGACTAACAGCAGGTTTGAATTTGACTCTAGCTGCTGAGGTTCAACCCATCCTTGCTTTTGGTCTGGAGCCCCTAATAGAGAAGCACTGAAGCAGGCTGGCTGGAGCGTTGCTGTAGGTAATGATGGCATCCATCACTTGCCTTCAAGGGTTTGTTCCCTGTTAATGACTGTGAAAGCTCTGCACGATCCTGAAACTTAAGCTTTCTGCAAGCACAAAATGGCATTGCTGTTGCCTTTCGTTGCTGAACTTCTCCAGGTTATTGTCTCTCTGCTGGCTCTGAGCCCTGGATTCAACTTTGAATAGACGAATGTAGGTTAGGTGTGAATGCGAATAGGAATGTCTGATAAAAATAACATTGGGCTATTTGGAAATTGGGGGGGGGGGAACCCTGACCTGCTGCTCATGCTATGCACAGCTCAACCCAGGAGGCAGCTTTCTCTCCGCCTTTCAAAGGGAATACGGCTGGCTCCAAAGCAGACTTTTCGCTGTGAACGTTTCTACCTTTGACAGCCGGGTCCGGCTTCCTCGGCGGCCAGATCTCTGTTGTGGCAGATGGACATCTGTCATCCCCAATCGTCAAACCCTTAGCTGAACGTCAGTCAAATATTTCAGATGCCTTCCAGCACAGGTGGAGAGGGTGCAGTAATTGGAAGCTGTTAGTACCTTACGTCATGTGTCTGAGCATAAGAAAAGACAGCTTTTACTTGTGCTTAGTTTTGTCTGAGCTATACTGACTGCTTCAGAATGCCCAAAATGTACTTTTTTTGCTCCCCAAAGTGCATCTGTAACCATCTGTTCGACTATCTATCTGTAATACCGTTCGTTTGATGAGGAGCTAGCAGGGAAAGGGAGCTATTGCATTCAGTGCCCTTCAGATTCACTCCCAAGATGGGTGTCAGGAGTTGCAGAGAGATCTCTCTCAAGTTTATTATCGAGCATTTTTAGTCCTGGATGATTTTTTGGACTTGAAGCCCCAGGCGCCCCAGGGTGAGAGGACACCTCCTTTTCATTAGAAACCCAACCACTCAGGGAACAAACCGAGTTTTGCTGTAGCTGCCACTTCAGGCAAATAGCACTTGCTCCTTTTTCAGTAATGAATCTCGCTTTGTTGCTTTGTACAGTCATCCAAGGGACTCTCAGATATATAAACAATAATTTGAGGATCACTTTGTTTTCTCTTCCATGGTACTGGCTCTTTTCTAGAAGTGTGGATCGGTCAGCTCTGCTCTGTCTGCTGCTACTGCCTCCAGTCCTGGGAGGAGAGGATCTTTGCTTCGTTTCAACCGCTCTCTTACGAAGATGCACGATAGATTACGTGGTCCGACCCAATCCGTGCTGGAAGAGCTGTGATGAAGCTTAATAGGGGCATAGCTTAAATACAAATGTAAAATAGAGCACGGGCTTCTCTCCTGGAGGAATATAGTCTTTGTGCACCGAGGGGCAAATGAATGGACTGTGAGCACTCTGATTTTGTAGAGTTGGTGGTAGAGAAGCAGCTTTTTGTCAAATTCTCCCATCTGTAACTATCCATGTCCTCTCGGAGTGCTGCGAATACCCTCTTGCTCCTGGACTGGCAAATAAAATCTGTGTTAATTTTGTAGTAAACGGTGTCTTGCACCATAGTCTAGCAAAGATACCACGGTCCTCTCACTTTTACTGGATTTCCTCAAGCACAGCTGACCTTTTAATCCATTTTACACCTCCAAAGTTCACTTGCATTTGTGTCCTTTTGTTTGTGGTTTGGCATGCAGCGTATGTCCTGTTAGTAGAGTGGGAACTGTAGTCTTTTCTCAGGAGCAATCTACAGAGTGTGTTTTGATGCCCTTGCAAAATTGTAAGTCCCAGACCTAAAGATTTCGCTATTTAAACTAGACTGGGTGCAACACATGGTTTTGTATACAAAGGGAAGGTGGCACGAAGATCACAGCACTTGCTCCTCGCAATGTTGTGAATATTTTATCCATCATTTTTGTTAATCATTGCCTGCGGGCAGTGCGCGGAAGGAGCTGGCTCTGAGGATGAGTTTGGCACGCTGTATCTTTGCGCTGCTTGGGCAGTCTGTGACTAGCCACAGCATTTTTTTGTGAGATACGGGGTTATTTCCCTGTTTTGCAGATAGGAGCAGGAAGCGGGCAAGACTCTTCCACCCTTCTCAGTGCCCTGGGGGTGCAAGATTTCAGGTCAGCTTTTGCTCTGACGGCTGTGCCGGCGCTGCTCCCGCTGTCTGTGAGCCCAGGCTGGCGGCAGGAGGAGCCCCCTTCCTCCGCACCCTCCTGCTGTGCTGATCAATCCAACAGAATTGAGCAATAATAAAGATAAAATTCAGATCTTTAAAAAAAAAAAAAGTGGATATTTGTGCGTCAGATAACCTCTTGCACCGTGTTGACTGAAGCCCTTACACAGGTTATGCTGGCTAACAGGATTACTTGCTTTGACAACACTAATTACTTAAGTACTCATCCTCATCCCCTGCTGCGTGGGGGAAACGGGCATCGCTGGGTTTCGGTTTTGCCTGTGCTCGGGCTCCAGTGCATGCTTCTCCTGACTCTCTGGTGCGTGGAGGATTTTTTCATGCAACCCCCACGAAGCTTTTGAAGTGCTCGACAGCTCTGGGTGCGCCGCGGCACGAGTGTCTGCTCCAGCACTGCACGACCGGCTCGGGGAATGGAGAAATCTTTTTTGGGGTGGGTTAGCAGGAAGCACAGCGAGTAGAAAACTGGCGATGTGGAGTAATCCCTTGCCTAGGGTGAGGTCTTTGCTCTGTGTGTGCATCCCCGGGACAGCGCTGGTCTCTCTAGCATCTCTGGAGCAGGTTTTTCTCCCTGCTCTCCATGCTGGCTGCAGCTTGGCTGGCAGACAGGCACAGCAGAGGAGAAGCCGGTTCCTTATCGTGCCCAGCTCCTTGTGGGAGTGGAGCCGTGCAAAGCCAGCGAGGGAACTTACATAAAAGTTCTTGGCTGCTCACATCGGCGTATCTTGCATAACTCCCCTCGCTAGGGCTACCAAGAAAAGGCAAAGCAGACCATGCCAGGAGCTTTTCATGGATCTCTTCTGAATTGTGTGACGGGCAGTACTGCTCTTGTGGTCGCATGCCGTCTCCATTAAGCTTTCTGCCCCGACTTCTGTGGGCTTTTTACTTTGTTAGGGTGGCTCCGGAGTCGGTGGCCGTGTTTGAAGGCCTGGGACGATGGGGAACATGGAGCTGAACGGTTCCTATTTCTCTGTTCTCTTCCTTATAAATCATTGACCTTCAAGCGCTCTCTCGCTTCCCTTGGAGTCAGATGGCAGATGCTAGGACAACTGCCCAGTTTGTAGAAGTACTTACAAATTGTTTTCCAGTCACTTAATGGCAGTGAGTCCCAAAGCCTCCCTTGCCCCTCGCTCCGAGACCCGTGCCCACGTTTCCACCCAGCTCCTTTTGGCCTCCCTTGTTCCAGCTGAACCTATTTGTGTCAGACCTGCAGCTTCCCTCTGCCTCCTCCCGCAGTGCAAATGCTGCCATCCTTACACAGATCCAGCTGGGTGTGCGGGGGGGGGGGAAATATGTGAAATTCTGCAAAATGTCAAGTTTTTCATCGGTAACCAGAGGGGTCACTTTTTTTTTCCCTTTTGGCTGTAGAGACGAGCAATATACGCAGTAAAAAAATGTTGTCCAACCTGTGTTGGCATAAGTAGGGGTCTTGCTTAAACCTCTTTAATTGGCGGCTCTGTGAAGAAAGCGCTGTGTGTGCCCTGGACCGTTCAAGGCATGCGGGGCACTTAGCAAGTACCCAGCAGAGCAAAGCTTCCAAAGCGACCGATGAAAGAGGGCCACCTTATTGCGGGCACCGGCTCCCCTTTCATTATACCCGCTCTTGTTCTCCTCTGTCCTACATTTCACATTATTTGAAAATTGATGTTCAGCTGCAAAGAATCTCTTGTGCTGCCTCTCTGCTTTTTCTCTCTGCCCCCTGAGTTTCCAAGCTAAATAGCTGCTCTATTTGCATTTAAAAGAGATCGGTTGCATTACTGTTAGTCACTGTATTATTTGGCCAGCGCTGTGGTTTTGCCTGTTAAATTCAACATAGTTTGGCATATGGGATGTCTTTACTGGGTGACGGGTAAGGACATCAACTTCATTTGCGTATCAGATATTTTTCTTCTCTAGCTGGATTACAGTTAAGTGCAAATCTGTCTTTCACCACATGACATGATCGCATCAGAAGCGGGAGATGTGGAAGCGATGGTACATTATCTAGTGAGTGGGTTTCGTTACACGCGGCGTGTGTTGGAGGTACTGCTTACTCGGAAGCAGGCTGGCACCGGAATCATTAAAATGGCTGTCAAAGCCCCGTTTGCCTTCCAGATTTTGAGGTGGTCTGGAGGATGCCCAGCAAAGATCAGGCAGTCTGTCCGGCCGCTTGCAGTCTTACGGACAGCGGTGCCTCCAAGATCTTTTGCAGAGGTGTGCCGTGTCCCTAATGCCGGGAGGGTGAGCGGCAGCTCCCTGCGGTACCTGCACCAGGGTAAGAGGCTTTTCTTGGGGCTGTGCGTGCCGCTGGGCGTGCAGCACGAGTGCGCAACGCCCCAGGGAGCACCCCAAAGCAAAACCCATCCCAGCATCTCATCCTCATCCATACTGCAGGATCGCTCCCTCGGCAGGGCTTGGTCGTAATGGTTTTGGTCCTGCTGTGACCGGGGGGTGTTGAAAAGGCTGAACCCAGAGGACTGAGGAGATGCTGGTTATTCGAGATGTTTTGAGAAGGAAATGGACTCCGGGACCTGAGACGATCTTTACGCTGCATCGCTGCGATAAGATGCAAATTGCTCTGTGGTGCGCGGGAGCCGCCGGCAGCGGGGCCGCGTGTTTGGGGCTGTTTGACAGGATTTTACGTCCAGTTTTTCTCTTTTTCCCGAACATCCAGGCCTCCTTCCTGGAATTTATTTTAAATCAAGACACTATATAGCATTTAAATATTATGCAGGGGTCGTTTGTTCTCCATCTTTTTCTTTTTTAAATTAGCCAGACCCAGGAGAAGGTAGATGAGGAAGTCAGATGGGTCTCGCTTGTAACTATTATTTTTGTTTCATATGCTTCCTTTCTGCTAGAGATCACCTTCTCACAAATAATACAGTTGCCTAGCATGAAAATAATAATAATGGCGTTGGATGGGGTGTTTTTCTGTCTAGATTTAAAAACCAGGGAACGTGTTACAAGTAGATGAGGCCTTAACTTGCCTTAAACGTTGGATTCCATCAAGATTTACCAAGTACTAAGCTTGGGGTTAAGCTTTTTGAAGTGGCCCGTACTGAGGGGTGCGAGGTTGTTACCTGGTAAAGGCAGCTTCTGCTTTACGGGTATGTGCGGTTTCCTCATAAACGAGAATTTTGCATATTGGTCCTCCTGCCTCAATTGCTAGTCCCTGGGAACCGGTGTGTTTTTCTCCTGCTTTTGCTGATATTTGCATGCAGTCCTGTTTTAGTGCAACATTGTGATGACAACTGTCCCCACCGAATTAGGAGACAGCTTTGGTGCCCGCGTTTTCTGCGGATGCATATGGCATTTAGTCTGCATGCGGTGGTTTTTTAAACATGCTGAGGGGTGTATTCAGTTGCTCTGGCAGCATAGCTTTTCTTCTTTCAGTATCTGAGAGCATAATTTCAGTGAAAGTATGTTTCTGAGTGTATGCTCATCTTGAGGCTTGGAACGAAAGCCTCCTGCTGAAAAGACTGTAATTCTTTCCTCCCCGAAAAGAGACGTGTTGCTAACTTCTTCACTTCCATTTCCAGCTGTCCCATTTCCTCCCACGCAGCGGCTCACTCTGAAGGAGGTGTTTGAGGATGGGAAGCCTAGGCTTGACGTCCTGAAGAGCCACTTGGTGAAGGAAGGGCGCCTGGAAGAGGATGCTGCGCTGAAGATCATCAACGATGGGGCTGCCATCCTTAGGCACGAGAAGACAATGATTGAAGTGGAGGCTCCGATCACAGGTCAGAGAGCTTTCTGTGGCTGGAGTCCTAAATAAGGGCCATCTAGGAAACATGAGCTGCTCAAAGCGGCAGGTTTTCTGCTGTGTTCCTTCCACCAGCAAGGTTTTTAAATTGCCTGAACGCTCAGAAGAGAGGATTTTGCTGGTATAGATCGAGTACATCTTTGCAGAAGCTGGATGTAAAGCAGGGGTGGCTTGGGTCAGAGCACAGCCATGCTATGCTCCTTGTTGCTATCATGACCTTTCTTTTCTTAGCATGTAATTCTGTCCCTCTTTTGTGCTGCTCTTCCTCCCCTAGTGTGCGGTGACATTCATGGGCAGTTTTTTGACCTGATGAAGTTGTTTGAAGTTGGAGGATCACCCAATAACACCCGCTACCTCTTCCTGGGAGACTACGTGGACAGAGGCTACTTCAGTATAGAGGTGACAAAGTTGAGCCTGGGGCTGCTAGTACTAAACTAACCGAGACTGTTGAACTAAACACTAAATACAGACCTCTCTCATGCTGGATTTTATGCTCTAGTCTAGGTTTGCATGCAAGGAAAAACATGTTGTAGGTCACTTACGGTATGATTTTTGGCAGAAAAGTGATGTCCAAATGTCATGATTTTGAATTGGATCCTCACCCAGTGACAGAGTTAAACAGCAGCAGTGGGGTTAACGACTAAACTCTGGCTTCTGAACTCGAGTTTTAATATCACTTGTAGCTGTCAGTCAGGGGAACAAGAGGGAGAGTTGATTGTATGTTGCAGGCAACAGGATCCTACCAGGCAGTGGGAAGCAAATGTTTAAAAACTTGCAGGATTCAGCTTAGCAGGGAAAAGAAAGCGCTACACTACTGAGTCACTGCTTCCCTACAGTCCCCCTGAAAGCATCAACCTTGCAGTGCCAGAGACAGGGTCAGGAGAAAGGAGCAATAAATCACCTGGGCTGTTGTACATCTCGCTGTGACCCAGGAGCTTAGTGCCGAGGCATTTAATTGTGTATCTAGCCATGCTGTGCCCGTGTGACAATCTGCCTTGTCACAATAACGCTGTCACCTTACAGACATCGGCCGAACATCTGGCGTCGTGTTAGGATTTTGCAGCTCTGTGGGATGCCACCGACCAAGTATTGAGTAACACTGCGAATTGTTGGTCTTAAAGGGCAAAGTAATCGATGGGTCCCCGTGGTTGCTGCTGGCTCACTGAAGGCCTGGGAGCGACAGAGCAGGCAGTACGGGAGAGCTGTTAGCAAATGCTGCAAACCCCAAGGGATTGCAGCCTTCTGGTTTCGCAGAGGCAGAGCCGGGTGGAAAAGGAGTGCTTATTCCAGTTGGAGGCAACGTAATGGGGGGCATTTGGGGAAACGGGGGCATGAAAGGTGGTAAAACTGGCCTGGAATAACAGAGTAAGTGGTTTCTTTTTGAAGAGGGAGGGTGCATACCACGATGCAGGAATAGCTGAGCTGTTGGGTCTGCGGAGGAATCTTTCTCAGTTAAATTTTGGGGAGGAACTCTCACGGGCAGCGATGAAGGCGGTTAATGCAAGTGCTTCTCTGAAGGATTCTGCAGAGGATTTAGGAGGGTACCGCTGAAGGCTTGTGCTTTAGCAGCATTCTGGCTTACTTCCAGCCTTGCGCTTCGTGTGTTGCTAAATACTGACAGCGAGCCAAGGTGTGACGACGAGCAGTTTCCGGGGTAGCGGGGACGGATGCTCGAAAGGTGGGGTTGTGGCTGTTGGGATTTCTGGTGGTGCTGGCAGGAGGAGCCCCGTAACCCCTGGGGAGGAAGGGGAAGGACAGGCATCTGACTGCTTGTTTAAATGGCTTGGCTTGCGCAAATTGGGTTTGCAGTTTAGGTGTATTTACCTGGAAAAGAGATTATATTATAGCAGAGCAACTCTTTTCTGAGATAAGATGTGGATGGTTTTTTTTTTGATTAACCAAGAAACCTTCAAACGAGAGTTGTCGTACCCTGTGCCTACACATGAATTTTACAGATCCTGGGTGGTGAAGTGCTTCTCCCACTCTCTGCTCTTACCCTGCGATTGATCTGACATGGGGGTTTTACTCCCAGGTCTGCAGAAGTGAGTGCCTGAGTTGGGGATCGATGCCCTCGTCTCTCTATGCTGTGATAGTACGGAGGAATTCCAGGGGGATGGACGATGAGTCCGCCTTGGAGAACAGAGGTGTTATTTTTTTTGAGGAGGAGGAAGGCCTGAAAATTATAGGTAAACCATCTGTTGTGGCCTGACACTGACCGAGGGCCTGTGCCAGGCAGCCCGGTGTTTTCGGGCTCGAGAGCCTTGGGGCAGTTGGTCTTTGTCAGCTCTGAGCAGAAAGTTTTTATTTCATGCTGCTCTTGACTCTCCTCCTTCCCCTTTCCCCCCGTGTCTGCAGAGGGAAAGCCACCGAGCGCTCCGTTACCCCACAGAGCTAGCATTGATCTTTCACGAATCAGGGTGGGCTTTGATTAGTACATGCGGGGGCTGATCCAAATGTCACTGATAAAGCAGAATCTAGAAGGCTTGATTCCCTTGTTCCTATTGATGTGTGCCTCTTCTTTCCACCTACTGCAAAGTGCAGCCGATGTGTTTTAAGAGATTCCCACCTGGGTGTGCAGAAACTGGTTTCTATAGTGAAACAACAGGAGGTTTGCAGCTGGTGGGGAGGATCGCTACAAGCAAAGAGTTAACAATGCCGAATGGGTGTCTGCATTTTTTTTTTTTTTTTTTTTTTTAAAGGCTGCTATAAAATGCAAAGCTGTAGCAGCTGGACTCTGAAGTGTGGAGATTGCTGATCTGTGAGCGTTTTGGGTTTTGGAGTTTTGATCGCTGTATCCCGGAGGCTCAGGTGATGGAAAGGCATCCAGGTTTCCCTGTGCTTTCACCGCTGGGAAGGTGGAGAGAGCCAGTGTCATCAGGCTTTCATGAGTCACCGCACAAGCTTGTGCATCCATGTACTGGGTGGGGAATATTATCGAGTGCCTGCCCAGAGCAGCTGATAATCATGACCTTTTAACTGAATGAAATAGGAGGTAATTGTATAATTGCATCCTGATGCAGGCAATCAGGAAACAAGATGCAAAACTGGGGGCCAAGGAGGTGTTAAGGTAAACTGTGTTGCTTGTTAGCAGCCCAAATAACCCTTGCAAGCTTTCCCCATTGCTGTGAGTATTTGGTTGTCAAGGTAAAAGGAGCAGTTTGTGGCTCAGACAAAACCTTTAAAAACCCCAAAAGCCTCTGTTCATCAACTCAGCTGGATGTCTTCAACAAATTATTTCTGGGCCTCTGGCTTAGGGAAATTCTCATTTAAAAACGTTCATTCCCAGTAAGTATAATGAGGCCATGAAGCGTGGTTTGGTTGGGTTTGTTTTTTTTTTCAAAAAAAGGCCATGAAGCGTGGTTTGGTTGGGTTTGGTTTTGTTTTTTTTTTTAAAAAAAAGTTGTGGGGTGAGAGGGAAGGGAAGCAACCGTGTGAAAGCTGAGACGGCTGATGTCTAGGGAAGAGGACGTAAGTATAATGAGGCCATGAAGCGTGGTTTGGTTGGGTTTGTTTTTTTTTTTTTAAAGAAAAAAGTTGTGGGGTGAGAGGGAAGGGAAGCAACCGTGTGAAAGCTGAGACGGCTGATGTCTAGTGGAAGAGGACTCTGCAAAGCGTTTGCTTTCAGTCCGTGCCACAAAGCCCCCTGCGACAGCGAGACTAACCGGCCGCGGACTCAAACGTTGTGGGGAAGGGTGACAGGCAGCACGGAAATGGGGCTGAACACCTCCATTTGGAGATGCTGATGAGACAGCATCCTGACGAAGGATTCTCTCGTCAGTCTGCAGGTGGGAAAGATGCTTCCTTCAAAGTGCTTTAAGCTTTTAGTTACATCTCCTAGCCCTTACACAAGAGAGGTCTGTGCCCATGTTAGTCAATGAGGGACCATCCTGGTCCGTGAAGCCAGAACTGCCGGAATACAATGAATAGAATTGTTTTATTAAATTACAAAGTGAAACAATTATTATGACCAAAAATTGAATCTATGGAAAGAGTAGATTTATCGGTAAAGATGGCATGATAATGGCATACACCTTTGCCAGGCTAGCTTTTCAAATCCAGTTACAATGGGACACATGATCGTTGCCTAATTACGGAATTGTATGTACGGTAATCTTGCCAGGATTGAATGCACCGTTTTATCCAGAGTAATATTAAAGAGATCCAGTCAATGTCGTAAGGTGCGAGCGAAGGTAGATTCGTGGGCCAAACATGGGACCGGGATGCAGGAGTTTTGCCGTGCTGTTTCTTCTGTGCCTGCTCCGGGAAGAGCTGGCAGGCTCGATGTTTATAACTTTCTTGTAAATGCCGGGTTTTGTAAATGGTATGAGAGATTACGGTGTGGCTTGTTGCGGGCAGGTTTGGCAGCAGCCCCTCTTGCTGTCGCTTTGGGTTGTGGGTAGCAATTCCTCTCGCAGTTCCCCCCACCGTGACCTGCTGAGCTTTCCCCTTGTGAGTGAAAGGGGGGGAATCAAATGGGGGCACGGGCGCGAATGTTTGGCTTTGGGCTTCAAACCGATAGGCAGAATAGGGGGAGAAGTAGAGTATTTAGGCCTAGTAAGCCATAATTGTCTGGAGTTGCTACTAGGCTATTGTAAACACGCAGTAATCAATTCCTGGGCACAGTGCCTTGAAAGTCTGGGAAAGGGATCTGTACAAAACGCCAGGAAGCATCTGAGGCATGCGAGTGCAGAAAACTCCCTCGTTCCAGCTCCTCCGGAGCTCACGAGGGCTGTTGAATGTCCTTTACTCATCGTTACCCCACTAGTACCTGGCAGCCCCCCACGTCCTTGTGAAATAGCTGCAAACCACGGGGAACTGCAGCGATACTGGAGACGTTTGCTCTTGACGTCTGTGGTTTGCTTGCTGCGTGTGTCCAGGAAGAATTGTGGTGCCGAGTGACTCCGTTCACTTCCATTTCACTTTAAAACACTTCAAATATATTTTTAAATATCTCTTCTGCAAGTTGCTGACCTTCTGTACAGCCCAAATCCTCCTCTTTGTTGATGGCGTGTCTCTACTTCCTTGCTTTGCTTTGAACCAGTGATGCCAGGGCTGGTTGCTTTCTCCAGTCTTTAGCCAGTCGCTTGGTTCGTTTATAGTGACTTTCACTTTTCAGTTCTCATGCTATCCCAGAAAAGTGACGTTTAGGTTGCAAACACAGGAGGTTAAAGCTTTAAATCACAGAATAATTATAAATGGTTTTGTTGGGAACATGTTAACAGATGCAGTAAAACATTAGTTTTGCTAGCCTTAACTACAGCTTATATTACCTGCCACTGTCCCTGTTTCTGTTCAGTTTTAAAATTCAGAATTTGCTATCCAGTCTTTCTCTGTGGGGTTGAATTCTGAGTTAGATGCAGACGGGTGCTTTACAGCTCCCTGGGGTTTTAGGGATCCCTGCATGTAGCTGGAATGACTAATGTATAGCTTACCTTGCAGGTTCAGTGCTTAAATACAATATCTAAGGTGTCTGTACTGGAAACTAACTTGAAACTGGTTTATTTTGGTTCTGGAGGTTGTTTCCATGCCACAGCAGCTGGTTCCCGGAGATCTGTGCACCAGATCAGCAATGTTTTTAAGCGTAAAACTGTTGACAGACTTCATGGTTCATGTTCTCAAAGTGTGCCGTTTTTGTAGCATGTCAGCCTAAAGGGTAAGCTCTTATTAGAGACTTTAATCCAGATCTTCAAGCTTGCTGTCATTATGGGTTGTCCTTCCAGCACTCAAAATCAACAAGGGAAATGTGGTAACATTTCCCCATGCTGGATATCTGCTGATTTAGCTGTCAGCTTGACAACGTATAGCGCAGAAGGGTAAGCGCGCTTGCTTTCCAGCCCTTCCCTTCTTCACGTAGCCTCTTTGGAAAGCCACCATGAAATATTTCTGGGAGCCTGCTGCAAATGATTGTTTCAGTTTGACTTTGGTCTGCACCTCATCAAAGACGATCTTTTTACAGGTGTTGCTGCTCAGATAGGGGATGTGGAAAGCCCTCTTCAAAGCCAGAAGGCTTTACTAAGCTTGTTTTTTGGTGAGGCTTTTCCTGTTTTGAACTTGAACTTCACATGACTGTAAGCGTAAGCAGAAAAACAGAGCGGGGGGAGAATTCAGTGGGGAAGATCAAGTTTAATTTTTCTAATGTTTAATATACTTGATAAAATGTCTATCAAGATGGCTGTCTGTTACACTTGATGGTCTCTGGTTTCGATTGCAGTGGGACATCTGGAGCGCACATCTCGCTGCGCAGCTGGTTTTGCTTTGCTGCTCTGAAAATGGGTGCTTTTTGCTTTGGTTTCTGCTGGAAGGAAAAGCTGCCCCCACCCAGCCCAGAGCCGGTTTCAGTTGAACGCAATCTCATTTGTCACTTCTCCAACTCAGGCCTAATATAGAGAAATGCTCAGTGTGGCTTTCCCCCACTGGTGAAGTTGGCCAAGATAAGATCTACTGCCGATTATGGAGCTGGGTTTCTATCAGGGTTCCACTTTGAATGCAGCTTGTTGGGTGTCTTCCCAGAAACACTTAGTGAAGTCTACGGATGATTAGTGCCCTATAAAAGGTTTTTATTACATGCCATCTCCTCCTTCCCTTTCTTGCAGTGTGTGCTGTATTTATGGAGTTTAAAGATAAATCATCCCAAAACGTTGTTCCTCCTTCGAGGGAACCATGAGTGCAGGCACCTCACAGAATACTTCACCTTTAAGCAGGAATGTAAGTATCAGCAGCGTAAGGATTTAAATGTGTTGTGACCAGGTGTGGGTCTTAATTTTTGTGCCTGCCACGAGTGGTATAGTTAGCTCTGGAGCTGTAAAAACCTGTCATCTTTTTTTCCTGCATACTTAGCTCTTCTCCTGTTTCAGCTCCTGCTAAAAGGAAAAAAAGCCAAATATATAAGTCCTGTAAAGTACTGAGTGCATGTTGATGTGGCCTTCTGGTTACAAAGAATGAGCGTGGATGGAAGAAATGCGAACGCATCTTCCCTGTCTTGCTGATGAGCCAGTTGCACGCACCCCCCCTCCCTGACTTTCAGGCCCAGCAACATATAATTACTGCCAAATGACTTTCAGCTCCAGATTGTGCAGCTGGGATCAGTGATTACAATTGGAAGCAAATAAAGGATTTGTTCCTCCGTGTTTGCACTAGGGAGAATCATTACCTTTAAGATCATTTTAGTTGAGTTAAAGATAGTTTCATGCAGCATTTACATATTTTTAAACCAACGGTGATGAAAGGTCAGGGAATGACCCCTCTCCTCGGAGGATGACAGTCATTCCTCCAAGCAATAAAGAAGGTATACACCAGCAACATGCAGTTCTCTATTAGGGAATAGTTGCTCAAGGACCCGACCTCAAGGAATAGGTATGGGCAAGGCACAAGTCCCATCTTCAGCCCTTCAGCTCTGGATGCTGCTGGACAGGGTAAGGCTGATAGGTACCGAGATAATGACATCTGTTTACTCAGAAATGAGTTGGAAAACACCAGCCAGTTCTCTGCTGGATACTCTAGTCATCAGATGGTGGTAGATGAGCTCCTGTTGAGCTGGGCTCAATTTGAACCAGAAAGCCAGAGGTGATGGGTTTTTTTTCCCCTTTGGAAAACAGAAGATACTGCCTTTCCACTTCCTGTATCGTAGCGTGCAGCTGAAAAAACCTGTTAGTATCTCTGAAATAAAGCTGGAGGAAAGGTAAACTTTCCATTCGTGCACTTTTTTGCTTTAGCCAGAGATGGATTTTATAGCAGTAAAGGGGCTTTCTCGAAGGTCTGGCTATGTTAACATATTGCTGCCCTGCGAAGGGGCTGCAGATGCAAGAAGACAGGCGCTTGACGTACAGTGATCTCTGTTCCTGCTCTCTGTTCTAACGGGAGGTGTGGAGAGATATTTCTGAACATACTTGGAGGCTTGCTGTAAAAGCTAAGCTGCTTTCGGAAAGGCCGTGTTATCTCTGTTTAATGTATTGAAACATCCTCTTCACCTCTGTTAAGGTGAGGCATCCAGCGGGGACTGTGATCATTGGTAGCCCTGAAAGATCCTGTGTGAAGGTTCATTTAACTGCAGGCATCTTGGTCAAATTCTGACTCAAAGCACTCGTGTCCAGCCGAAAAGGCAATTCCTATCTTAAATGATTGTGTAATATTGCTGTGCCAAATTAAACAGCTGCTGCACTTCCCAGTGTCTAATCTGCCTAGCAGCTAGGCTGGTAAGACTCTTTGAGTCTAGAGGTGCAGTATGAATGTAGGAAAGCGACGGGATGGCTTTATTAGTATCCCAAGTTTTCTATTACAGTGGCAAGCGCCTAGCCTCTTTTCTATGTTAATCTTAGCGCAGGTGTTCTAGAAAATAGCTTGAAGGGAGATTAATATTCTTGACCATGTCCAGATTACTGTGAAGCCTTTTCGTCTCCATGTCCAACAAGCATTTTCTAAGTCAGCATTTTCAGTAATACACGGGTGCAAAGTTCGACTTGGTGGGCCATAGGCATAGAGTTTCCGTATCACCTGAGGAGTTAGGTTCCTTGAACTTGCTTATCAGCACTTTGGCTGATCAAAGCTTTGCTTAATGCTTCTTATATCATGTAGGTTTGGATGCATGAATGACTCCCCCTTTAAAAAGAAAAAAGAAAAGATTAAAAAAGACTCCCCCTTTAAAAAGAAAAAAGAAAAGAAAAGATTTAAAAAAAAAAAAAAAGCTTCTGCTTTCAGCCTGAGCAGTCTTTGTTGTGCAAATGGGTAAATTAATTCAGTTCTTCCCTCTCTTCCTCCCCCTGCCCCTCATCTTTCCAGGTCGAATCAAGTATTCGGAGCGAGTGTATGATGCGTGTATGGATACATTTGACTGTCTTCCTCTTGCTGCCCTCTTAAACCAGCAATTTCTGTGTGTTCATGGAGGACTGTCTCCAGAAATCACGTGTCTAGATGACATTAGGAAAGTAAGTAATCTCCGTGGTCCTTTCACATAGCTTACAAGTAATAGTGTGGTTAATGGCTTGCTTGATTCCTGCATGGAGTTCCAGGTTGAGGCTCCTGTGCTCTGCATGTCCACACCGTAGGTGTGTGTATGCTGCTGCAGCTCTCACCAGCATTGTCCTGATTTTGTGTACGTTTTTCAGTTAGACAGGTTTAAGGAGCCTCCGGCCTTTGGTCCAATGTGTGACCTGCTCTGGTCCGATCCATCGGAGGATTACGGCAATGAGAAAACACTGGAGCATTTTGCCCACAACACTGTTCGAGGCTGCTCCTATTTCTACAGGTAAGTGGTGTTTTAGGGGGCTCTGATGGACTAGGGTTTTTTGTCTCCCCTTACACTAAGGTGTATGGGGAGATAAATTGCTATTCACATCACTCTGTGGGACTTCACAGTGTACCTGGCTCTGAAATAGTCTTCAGTTGGCTCTAATGCACAAAATCTTGTTTGTTTTTTCTTCTCCTGTAATATTGAGCTCTCTTTGGATATGTTGCTCTATGAAATTGTGGTATCGGACAGCAGAGATGCTTCTTTTAGCTGGCAGGGTGCCTTTTGAATGGTTTTCAGGCACTGGACAGTACCAGGAGCTCTAGGAAATAATCTTTTCCTGTCTAAAAGAGAAGCATTTGTGCTGACAGATCACTTGTAACCCGGCTGATAGGGAGGATTTGGCACCAGCGGTCTGTTTAACAGAATGCGTTGCAATTAATTTTGGAATGATCTAATACATACTGGCCTTGTTTGGGGATGCTGGACACAAACTGAATGGATGCTGCAAGTGGCTGGTTCCTGAAACCAAGACTATGGGTGTTATCTGCTCTCCTGCGCTACGTGCTAATGTATACTTGCTTTTTGTTTTCCAGTTATCCTGCAGTTTGTGAATTTTTGCAGAACAATAGTTTGTTATCTGTAATCCGAGCTCACGAAGCCCAGGACGCTGGGTAAGTGCTGCAGCCTGGTAGCTGAGCAGGCTCCGTCTGCGTTCGTGCTATCCTTAGCAAGACCAGTATGTTTAACACTTGACCTGTTTTTCAGGTACCGAATGTACAGGAAGAGCCAGACAACAGGCTTTCCATCATTAATCACAATCTTCTCTGCACCAAATTACCTAGATGTCTATAACAACAAGGGTAAGGCTGGCAAGGCCAGGGCTCTGCTGCTGTTCGGATGTCAGTACTGTCCTCACGCGCTTAGGAAATCCCTCTCCGTCTTCCCTTGCCTTGCCCGCTCTGCCCTCTCTTCTGGTTGCATTCTTATGCATGAAATGAAAAAGAGCTTTATATGTTAAACTGACGGCAGCTGGGGAGCTGGAAGTGGCTGGGTTCTCTGACTCGAAGACTTGATGTATTACTGTGGCAATTAGCTGTCAAGTTATAAAGCCTAGAATAATGCTTTCATTTCCAGCCACATGACAACTAAGCGCTATTGATGAATGCTGCCATAAAAGAGAAGCTGCTAGTATAGGCAAGCTTTTAACTTCACTGTGCCCCTAAAACCGTATTGAGTATGATGGGGAACGTTCCTCAGCTGTGGGGCTTTTTGCCACTTGCTTGGGATCTTGTCCCTGTGTTCATCACTTCTGATTTGCATAAATTTTAACAGCTTTGTTAAATTGTCCTTCACTATTAGGATGAGCTTTAGTGAAACAACGTAATGGGTAAACTGAAAAATATTGCTTAAGCCGCCTCATTTTGGAGAGCTGGTAGTTTGATTCTGCATGAGTGCAACCTCTTGTTGGTAATGAAGTTTCATTAGTGCAGGTACAGCTCCCAGAAGTTGACAGTGCCTATGGACATGTGTTGTCTTTCCTTTCTCTCTCCCAGCTGCTGTACTGAAATATGAAAACAATGTCATGAACATCAGGCAGTTCAACTGTTCCCCTCATCCGTACTGGCTTCCAAACTTCATGGATGTCTTCACATGGTCTTTGCCTTTCGTAGGGGAAAAGGGTAAGAGATATTTGGATTTCTGTTACGAGTTGCCCGGTGACTGGTCACAGTACCCTGAGTGTTAGAAACCTGTCCCACGGGCTATTAAATGTGTTGGGAGAGTGTTGTGACTCATTAATATCAGATAGCACTGGAAAGTAGTTCAGGTTCAAGGAGATCTGCATAATACTGGGTAAAGTTCACGTGAAAATAATTGTTGATATCTGTTTTAGAAAGCTTTTCCCAATAAAATGATCCTGTCTTGCTATTTCTGCATTGCTGATGGAGCCGATCTTGGGTGGTGTGGCCCCACCTCAGAATTTGGAGACATTTCTCTTGCTCTGGGTTTGCAACAGAGAAATTAAAATCTCCTGTTGGCTTGCGGCCCACCAAAAAGGAAGCATTCACTTCAGTTTAAAGGCTTATTTCATTCTGAAGGAGGCGAGGCAGCTTAAAATATGACCAAGACTTTGCCTCAATTTCTCAGCGAAAGGGTTTTTACCTCTCCTGGTGAGTTTAAATTCCGCTCCAGCGTTGTATGTTTGGAGTATGACTTACAGGTCTGAAGCGCCAAAGGTTTTGTGACTTTGAGGAACCAAAGGTTGAATTCCCCCCAGACTTGACTTTCTTGGAGCCAGGTGGCCTGTTGTGCGGGTCGGGGTGGGAAGGTGGGACCTTCACAGCGGGCCCAGGCTGTTCTGCATGAATGTTGGCACCCCGCTCCCCACGTCTGTTTCATCTGTGATGTGCTTGGACTGCATCCACCTCCTTGGCAGAAGGTGTAAAGTATGTCGTCTGCTCTGGGTACTGCTGCGAGGTACCAGCAGTATGCGGCTAAAAGTGTCTTTGGGCTTCCACTTCCAGAGTATAAATGACCTTGAAATCGTTTGCTTGTCCAGCTCGTCCTCCAAATACCTCTGTCTGCCAAGCGTGCGCACCGGGCCTCTCTAATCTTCCTGTCTGTACTTTTTACAGTCACAGAAATGCTCGTTAACATCCTCAACATATGCTCCGATGATGAGTTGATTTCAGATGGTGATGAGACATTGGAAGGTAAAAAAACGCTGTTACGACCGAGCTGGTAACAGTGGGGGGGTGAAGGTGGGGAAGGTGTATGATGCTAGCTCAAGAGTGATCAGCACTTGATTTATAGCTGGATGCCCAGCCAGGGTCTCCAGTTCCTTTTTGGCCAACCCTTGTGCAGTTCTGGGTAGGAAGCTTTTTTTTTTCCCTTTGCTATTCAGTCACAGAGAAATTAAATTATATTCACTGCGACAGACGCTTCTTGCCAGCTACTCTGGAGAATGGCTTCCTGCTCCTTACAGAGACTGCTTCCCAAGTGGTTATTTTTTCCCCCAATTCAAAATTTTCTGCACCAAAATATCTACCCAATCTTCTCATCTGTTGCAGTGAACTCCTCTGTAAAGTGGCTTCTCGTGTCACCCCAAAAAAAGTAGAATGCAGTTTTTGGCCCTGGTTTTAAGCTATGAAAGGGACAAAACAGTTGCTGAGCTGATCTGCAGTTTCTATATCGGGGGGATCGCTTGAGAGCGAGGTGATGGCCCAGAGGAAGCTCAGGCGCAGGCGTGGGGCATGCAGCGAGAAGTGGGGCTGTGAGCATGCACGGGGGGGTCCGGGGGAGCTGCCTGTACAGACGCCTGTAGGGTGGAGGACAGTCAGTCCCGCAGAGAAGCAGAACACCATTGTGGTACAACAGGGTGCCGCTGCTTCGGTCAACAGGTTGAGACTTTAACCCGCTTCTCCCATTGCATTTCGTTTTTGGTTTTTTTCTTTCTCCCTCCCATGAAAATTAAATTTGTTTCTTCTATCTCTGTCTTCATCTACTTGTTTCTTGGTGTCTCCTCTCCCTGAAGATCACTACATTTCAAGCTATCAGAAAGGTACCCAGCTAGAATTTGCTACGAGCTTAATTTTCACTGCCTGTGCCACCAGATTCCTTGGAGTGGATTTGAATAGCTGACTAGTTGGGCAGTCTCTTCATCCCCTTTCAGTTTTAACATAAGCGCCGTGTGTTTTTTAACCCTTCTGCGTTCCTCCAGGAACTTGAGAAACGGGGTCACGTTTCTATCTGACTTCTGAATGCAGCCACTTAGTGCATGGCTGAGCCATCGGTGCATGTTAGACCTCCGGTTTGGCTTGTACTGTCCTAATGTGTAGTTGGGCCATGTGAGGAATCTCAGCTGAGAGGAGATGTATTTGTTACCTCTTTTACTTTGATTTTTGTTTGTTTTCAGTTACCCTCCATGCTTTTCTCTCATGTTCGGTCTGTATAGCGGAAGGGGAGTTCACATATCTCACTTTGTGTTTGTGTGGGGTCAAAGCAGAGTTGCAAGGCTCCGGCCAGCCGTTCACTGTGCGCGTTGGATGCCAAAGCTGATGCTTGCGTGACACTCCTCCCCGCGGCGAGCACAGCCCGGTGTTCTGCGGTGTTCATCAGCAGTCAGATTCGTCAGTGTTCTGCCTTGCAAAACTGTGTCTACATGGCTGAGTCATTTGTGTTACATCCTGTGTAGTGTGATCAAACCTGGTGAGCTTCGAACAAGACCTATCCGATCCGTTTCCTTTGGTGGTTCTACTCTCTTTAGACCTTTAAGTCCGTGTGTCATCTCGTTGGTGTTGCCCTTCTCACTGCCATCCTGACCGCCATCCTCTCAGCACTGTTCTCTCAAGAGTGTAGCTGTGAATTTGTAAACCATGATTTCTTTTCCTGGAGTCAGGCAGGTGCTTCATATTGACATTACCTGTGCCTGGAGAGCAGGAAACCTTAAACATGCTGGTGTTTTTTTTTCTCTCCCTAAGGTGGGACAACAGTCCGTAAAGAGATCATCAGGAACAAGATTAGAGCCATTGGGAAGATGGCGCGTGTCTTCTCGGTTCTTCGGTAAGGAAGAAGCTTGTGATTTGGGGTTTGGGTAACGGGGGACGTTGGTCAGGCTGCTCCGGGCAGGCGGAGTCCTGCTGGGGAAAAATCTTACGAGACTGTTGCTTCAGAGTAGATGGCAAAGGCTCGAGGTGGTGGTTTCTGTATGCCTGGTGGTCTGACTCTTGGAAACCTTCATCTCAAGCACCGTCACCTTTGCCAGCAGAAATGCTGCTGACTAGGTATATTTAGCCCCTTCAGGATGCATTTGCTGCGCCGTAGCTCTGGTGCGTCGTGGCTGAGTAAGCAGAGGTCCTGTATTTACGAGGCAGGGTTGTGCTCAGTGCCCAGCAGATCGGACGCGCGCTGCCTGTGGTCAGCACAGGGCAGACTCTGGCTTTCATGCCGCTCGCCACTAACAGTCTTGCGTGGATCTAACTGAGCATTGCATCGATCTCTCGGTAACCGGTTGCGTTGCCTCTTACTTGCAGAGAGGAGAGCGAGAGCGTGCTGACTCTCAAAGGCCTGACTCCCACAGGTACACTGCCCCTGGGAGTGCTCTCAGGGGGGAGGCAGACCCTACAGACTGGTGAGTATGAACGATCCTCTTCTCTGCAACACTGCATCCCCTCTGCAGTTTTATACCTGGTCCTCAGCTGCCCCGAAAACCGTTCGATCGGTTCCCGTAGGCGTAATTCAGGGTGCCAGGGGACCCGAGAGGTGGTTCAGGCCCACGGGGAGGAAGGATTCAGAAATAGGAAAAAGCAGAAATGTAGGTGGGGATGTGGAGAGCCTTCCAAGATGTCCCTGTATACCCTCGAGGAGGGGAACGCGAGGGAAAAAAGACAACAAACAGCATCCCGCCTAAAGCATGTGTATTGCTTTATTGTATGTTTCTGCAACAATTTTTATCATTTATTTCCCTTCTAACGCTGCATGATAAGTATTCTCTGCTTCACCTCTCTGCTGCTGTTGTGTGATAGCGTATATATGAACGTAATAGTAAACACGCCTGCTTGTTTGTTCTTTGTTAAACAAAACCCCTTCTTCGATTTTGACCCTATGAAACTGTGAATCCCAAACAGAGGAAGCTTAGCTTTAGTTGAAGGAAGGAGATTCTTCCAGGCCTGTATGTTTCATATTAAGACTTCTCTCGGCCCCCTGGTTTTGATCTGGTTTTGGAGGTTTCTCTTCTGTGCTTGCTGGCAAATACTTTGCTCCCTCCCTCAGCAGCCAACTGGTCTGTCTTAATAGTGTGCTGAGAGCAGGACTGAGCTAGCGATCTGCGTGCTTTAAACTCGCAGGGCAGGGAGATTGGCTGATGGTCAGGGAATGAGTTATCATAGTAACATGTGTCCCCAGAGGGAATCCTGTAATCTAGTGTTTTAATCCTTTCCTGCCGCCAGCCTTTGAATGCTGGCGTCTAACCAGCCTGCTTTCCCCTTGCTATCAGCGCTGGGTAATTTCCTGCGGGCTCAGAAGAGAGGGCTTGTTCTGGGATTGCCTTGCCTTGATTAAATAGTTCACAAGTGAGAAACGTGTAAATATTGCTGCCCGCTCCTGGGGATGGGGAGGGATGCGGTATCGCTCCCAAACTCATAGGTTTCTCTGCCTGCAGAGGAGTATGATTTTTTTTTTTTTCTTTTTTTTATAGCAACCACAATGGTTTCTGTCGCCCCAGTTCTGCTGGAGGTATGGGAACAGAGCCTGAGTGGGAAGGCGGCTGTTACAGCTCGAGCAGCCAGCTCGCTCGTGGTGCTGCAGCTCTGCCCCTATAGCTGACAGCGCAGGGAGCGGGTCGTGCTGCGACGCTCTCCTGCACCTTCCCCTCTCGGGGGCTGGGGGGGTGTCCTCTAAGGGGCTCCCCCCAGTAAGGAAGCTGAGATTTGTGCATCTCCCTGAGACAGGACAAACAAGCTGGACCTTTGCTGCTGCCTTACCTGACCCTGCCTGCCGCCTCCTCCCGTGGCTGCGGGCTTCCCACCCCTTGCTGTTCCCGGCACCCCGTGCTCCCCTCAGCAGCACCCTGCTTTTCGTGCCCTTCTCACGCTCCTTTCCCCGTCGTGCCTCCTTCTCTCACCCCTTCCCGTTTCACATGTCCCTTCGCACCGCGCCGTCTGCTCGCAGCAGCCTCCTGGTGAACGTACAGGCGCTCCTTCAGCAGCCGTGCTGGGAGCCCGTCTGCTCGGCAGGGAGAGGAGGGGGCTGCACCCCTTTTGAGGTGCCTCTGCACCCCAAAAGAGGAGAGACAGGGCTGCAGGTAGCAGTGGCGGGGCCCCTTCCCTCCCTGAGCCTCCTGCCAACCTTTCGCAGCACGGCTTAGCAAAATCGGCTGAGTAAAGTCACCGAATCTGGAGCAAAGATGCTCAGCTACAACTCCATTCTTCTTCCATGGCCTCTCAGGGACCAAGTGGCCTTTGTATTGTGTCCAAAGCAAAAAAACTGTGGCGTTTTGAGGCTAAAAGCAGGGGATCTGTTCTAGGGAAGGGCCTCCTCCCAGATGTTGAGGCAGGGACTACCAAAACTTGGACAGCTGCTGCAGCAGATTTAGGAAGGGGGACGTTGCTCAGCTTTATGGTGCCTTGTTGCTTGGTAACACTTTTAGGAGGTGGAGCTGAAGCCAAACTGGATTTGAAGCATCAGCCTGGCTTTTATGTTATAATTCAAGGCATCGGGAGCGGAGCAGCCTGGTATCGGCTGCTGCCTGCCCTCCCCCGCAGAACAAACTGCCCCTCTCTTCCCCGCTGCTCCGAAAAGTCATCACGTCCCTCGGGGTCACTTCCCTCACGTTGGCTCTGGTGGTTGGGGCTTTGCTGTGGGATGAATTCCACATAATTTACCTTCTGAAGGTGGCCAGGGCGCCCTAGAGCCACTGAACTGGGAGCAGGGGGGCTGTAAATGCAGGTGGAGACCCATGGCTTAGTCCGAGACTATCGCTGTCCTTGCCGTGGGACGCCTGCATGCCCGAGCCCTCCAGCGCATGCAGCAGCGAGCCATCTCTCTGCTTCTCTGTTTCTTTCCATCGGATTTATCTGTGTGACGAGTCCAGCGAACGTGAGGAAAGGAGACTCCCCCGTGTCAGTGCTCAGCAGACGCTAAACCCGAGGGAGTCCCCTTCCAGCCTTCCTCTCAAGCTCCTGTCACCTTTTTTCCTCTTGCCAGTTGGTTTTGATTACGGTCGTCTCCACTGGGGCTGGGAGGCTGTGGGCTCTGCGTTCGCAGCGATGATGTTCGATCATCACTGTCACTCTTTTTTTTCTGTCTTCATTTTTGCATGCCACTGTTCTTCTGTATTGCAGCCACAGTAGAAGCGGTAGAGGCACGGGAAGGTATGGCTAGAATCCGGCGAGAGACTCAAATCATCTCTGTGTGTGCGTGCGCTAATTTTAAAGAGCTTTATCAGCCTTATGGAAGCTTTTTACTCTTGCATCACCAGAAGTGGGGGAGGATGGGCCCCTGCTGGGAAGCAAAAAATACACGGTGGGCTGGTTCAAGTCTATTTTAGCCTTTAATGAGGCTATTGCTTAGTGCAATACCTTTATTCCGAGAGTGCCCTGTCTCCGGAGCGGTTTGTGCTCTGGTGTCTCAAGACCTTGGTGTTGGGGTCCTGCAGTCCGATCTCGGATGCCTCGCGGCTGAGTTCATCCCCTGGGTAACTCGATCCGGTGAAGGCTGCCAGCAGGCTTGGTCAAAATCATCTAGGAGACAGCGGATTGCGCGACTCTGATGTAATCCTTGCCTTCCCCACAGGTGGGCCAAGGTGGGCCCAGCGTGGAGAAGCAGTTTTCTCCCTGTAGCTCGTGTAGAAATGACAGATTCATGAGGTTACTGTCAGGGGAGGTTTTCTCCTTGATAGCTCCATTCAACTACTGATGAATGGGGCCGTACCTCTGTGTAGAGAACTTTTTGATTACCAAGGGAAGATTGTTTGTAAACCAGCCAAGTCCTTGTAAAAAGGTTTGGCACAACCCCCTTTTTCTTAAATTATCTGTAATACAAAGAAGTTAAACATTTGGTCCATATCATCACCGCAAGGATGATGTACTCAGCCTCGTAGTGATGAAACAGGGATACGCCTGCCCTTGGTGGGATTTCATCACTCGTGAGACTGCCTGCGTGTCTCCTGGTCATGCAAGAAGCGTTGCGTTTGTGATCCGAGGACTAGCTGTTTCCCTCTCCTGGTGTTGCAGTGTGTGGTTTGTGTTGGAGTTAAAGCCTCGTGGTGGTGTCTTTGTTGTGTTGGTTTGGTTTTGCCTTTTTTTTTTTTTCTTCGTTTGTGCCCTTGGTGGGATTTCATCACTCGTGAGACTGCCTGCGTGTCTCCTGGTCATGCAAGAAGCGTTGCGTTTGTGATCCGAGGACTAGCTGTTTCCCTCTCCTGGTGTTGCAGTGTGTGGTTTGTGTTGGAGTTAAAGCCTCGTGGTGGTGTCTTTGTTGTGTTGGTTTGGTTTTGCCTTTTTTTTTTTTTCTTCGTTTGTTGTTTTTTTTGGTTTGGTTTTGCCTTTTTTTTTTTTTTCTCTTCGTTTGTTTTTTTTTTTTTTTTAGTATCCTGTTTTTCAGCTTTGAAAGTTTCCTGAGATTTCACTGTTTGGGGACGTTGAGCACTTGTCTGGTCTTCAAGTTCCTACTGCTAAACTGTATTAAAAGAGGAACCATTAGGGAGCAGAGCAAGTCGCCGCAGTCTGGAATCCTAGACTTTGCTGCTGTGACCCGGCGGCAAAGGCTTCAACTTCCCAGCTGCACTGTGGTACCCACATAAGCTGGCGATGCTGAAAATCACCTACGGACCCATCTCGTGGTTCCCGTAGCCAGACACGTGCTTTCTGTCGCCCCGACTCTGTCCTGTACATGTCTGGCGTGTGCTAAAGGGCTCCTATCCGGGGATCCGCGGCTCAGACTAACTCTTCTATCTCGGCCCTTCTCTCTGCAGCCATTCGTGGATTTTCGCCGCAGCACAAGATCCGCAGCTTCGAAGAAGCCAGAGGTCTGGATCGCATTAACGAACGCATGCCGCCACGCAAAGATTCAATGCACTCAGACGGGCCGGTGAACTTGGTAACCTCAACAAACTCTGCGGACAAGAATGGCACAGGGAAGAAAGCCCAGTAACGGTCCGAGCGCCCAATCTGCACCACTAAAGGATCCAAAACTTAATGAATTTTATTTATTTATTATTGGGGTGGGGTGGGGGCAGGGGAGAAACCAACTTCACCTGGAGGCACGTTCATAATCCAGTTTGCATCCATTCTGTAAGAAAGGTGACCATTTTGTAATTTTTTTATTTATGTTCAATATATAAAAAGTCCATCTTTTTTTAATTTAGAAACCAATCTAACTGCTAGTGCATATATGAAGTGTTGTGCTGTACAGCTGACCTCTCCTCCACGAGAGGCAAACCTCTGTGGGGGGATTAAAAGAAACAAAAACAGTCCCAGGCAACTTGGGTCGTTGACTTTGGTACACTTCTAAGTTAGCCTGTGCTTTCAAAAGCGGGTCCTTTCGCTGAAAATAGGGTTGGTTTGGTTTTTCTTTTCACAACTGTCTTCTTCCCAGAGTTTGCTGTTGTTTTCTTCGACTTCTTGCCTACCTGCATCTGCTGCTTTAGCAACCGATTCTGTGGAAGGCACGTTGCGTGGTGCAACTGGCTGGGATCCGTCCCTCTTCCAAGGTGACATCCGAATGTTCAGGGTTAGCTCTGAAGGACTCCGGGGTGTTACGCCAATCACAGCACCTTTTCCTTCGGTAATTCAGTTTTGTTCCAGTGGAGCCCCAAGCGAAAAAGTAACCTCTGAATCAGAACGGGAAGGCAGGTGGGAGAAGCACTGCCCCTTGTCGCAGCTCTTCCCGAAGCTTCGGCCGTTCGGACTCGGTGCAGCCGGCTGTACGCCGGAGTTTCTCAGCCGGGGCTGTCCGTGCAGCAGAAATCCCGCTGGGAATCCCTCTGATTCAGAGCAGAGGAATTGTCGCTAGCGATCAGCAGGTCTTTGGGAAATCTGCACGGCCTGAATTTTAAAGGAAAAAGGGGGTGATTTATAACCTGTGGACAGAAAGACCCCCCCCGCTACCACCATCACATACTGCAGAGCCCGTGGCACGCTCCCCTGCGCCCGGCTCTCGAATCAGCCCTTGCTGATCAGTATTTGAGCGGTGGGCGTGCGAGGTGGTCCCCCCTAAGCCAGCACCGCCTTCCACTCATCCAGCGTGCGTCTTGGGGGGGGTCTTTCACCTGTTACCTTGTTATCCAGCGGCTATTCCTCCGACTCCAAAGGAGCCACGGGCGCATCAGCCTTTCCTGGCAGCTGGAAGGGGGTTTGCCGGCTTGTGATAAAGATTTGGGGAAGGGTGGGTGACGGTGCTGCTCGGTTTTGTAGAGATGTGGCTTGTTGGCTGACGGCCAGTGGCGAGGCGGCTTTGCTAAAAAGCCCCCGGTTTGGGAAGCGCGTCCCTCGGCTGCAGGGGAGGGAGGATGGTTTTACAGTAGGTTGGCAGGTAGAAGAACCGAGTGGATCTGGCAGAAGTTTTGGAAGGGTGTTTGTGCAGTGCTGGAGAGGGAGGGGGATCTCCTGGTGAAAGGAGGGTTTCCAGAGGACGCCCTCTTTGCAGGGTCAAGGGTTTTGAAGCTTGGATCTCCTAAGCAGAGCCTCGTTCTTTCGCTTAAACTTTGACCTGAAGCGAGTGTTGAAAGAGGATTTTGTGAGATTCCCGTTTGGTCGCTTCCCTTCCCCACATGTCATTTGAGCCACGTCCTTTTCTGCCTGCGATTGCACAGAGTCAAAGCAGCAGCTTCCAGAAGCGAATCCCTTGCCAGCTTTCACTTCTTTTCCAACTTAACTGTCTATTGTGCTTTCTCCAAGCAAGGGCAGCAGGTGAGCAGGCTTAGCCTCTAATAAGGGATATTTGCCAACCCCTTCTCTGGATCTTGCTGTCTTCCCTTTGTGCTCCGGCCCTAAGCTGCGATTCCAGCGAAAGAGGAAAACAGCAACTTTGCAGGAAGCTTTCAAATTGTCTTATAATTGTACGTCACTTAATTTCATGCCAGCTATTTAGGAAACAGTATCTGTGAGCAGACCACTGGGTTTTCACAAGAGACTTTTGAGTCGCATGCCTCCACTTTTTCTTTTTTTTTTTTTCCCCTTTTTTTACACGCCCACTGCTTTGCAAAAAGTGCGAGATGTTTTGAGCAAGCTTCTCTAACCCCATATGAGGCGTGGGGCCAATTGCCTTTGTGAGTATTTCTTCTGTTTTTTAACGGCATCTTTTCTGAAACACAGTGAGCCGATGTGTGGTATCTTCCTCTGAGAGCGCAAACCGTGCAAAGGTGCTGCCCGTGCATGTTCGGGCATGTTGTTCTGACCCAGGCTGGGATCTCACCCAAGCAGCAGTTTTAGTCGGGAGCTTTGGGACGGGTGCTGCAGGGGGATGCTCGTACCCCGAGCCTGGCAGCCCGTGCGTGGGGGTTCAGGAGGGGACCGTCCCTTTCCGGAAGGGGGATTTGCTTTGCTCGTGGTTTGTCCCCCAACCTTCTCGTCCTCTGGCATCACCAGCTCCCCCCCAAAACCCGTTTGGCCCTTGTGCTTCATGGTTTGCCGCCCTTGCAAAGCACGGGGGGGCTGGCGGCATTGTGAGGAGCTGTGACGCACACGCACCCCCCCACACCCCCCCCATCCCCGGAGCTGGGTGTTGCCGAAAATGTCCCTGTGGCTGGCGGGACCGCAGCATCTCGGCCCAGGAGGGACTGGTGCCTGTCGGGGGAAGGCGGTTAATGGCTGGATGTGGGTCCCCCCCCCGGCGGGGAGCCCTGCCCGGGAGCCGTACAGCAGCCGGCACGTATGGATGCTATACTGCCAGGCGAAGCGCAGGCTCCCGTTGCCGCAGCAGCGCTGGTGCCGGACCCCCTTCCCTTGACAGGAGTTCCCGAGGGGGTGAGGAGCAGTGAGGGGGTGAGGAGCAGCGATGGGGCGCGTGGGTGCTAATTACCCCCTGGATTGACTAATGCTCATCCGTGTAACCCTCTCCGTGCTGGCATCCCTGCCCAGCCCGGCCGGCGGCAGGAGCTGCGGGGAAGGAAGGCAGAGCTTTCCCCTGCCCCAGCGCTGAGCTGGGAAACCCCCATCCCCTCTTCACCAGCTTTTGGGGAAGAGGGTGATGAAGACCTCGGAGCAGAGGCCGGCAGCAGCCGGCAAGGTCCCTCGCTCACCCCGGCACAGTGCCCTGCCCCGATCCCCACCACGGCAAAACAAAAAATGCCAGAAATACGCAGATTCCCCCCCTCTTCCTCCTCTTCCCCACCACTCCCCCCCCTGCAAAGCCAGCGCCTCGGAGCTATGCACGTCTCAAGACCCCTCATCTCAGAGCTCCCGCCCGCCCCTTTCCCTCCCCGGCTGCCACCCGGAGCTTGGCAAACAGGGCTCCGGGAGCGCAAGCCGAGGAGCATGACCGGCCCCGGGGACAGCCCAGCCGCCTCCTCCGCCGGCTGGCCTCGTAGCCTGGGTGTTTTTTGCATGTTATAGCAAGGTGCATGTAACAAGGAGGGGAGTCAGCAATGGGTCGGGTGGTGGGTTGAGTTCAAGCTTTTTTTTTTTTTATTATTATTATTATTTTTGGCGTTGGGAGAACCTCTTGCTGCCCGTGCCAGCCCGGGAGCCTGTCGCGGCGCCCGGGCACAGATCCGACCTAGGTAGGTGCGGTGGCAGGGATGCGTGGAGGCCGACCGGCCTCTGCCAGGGAGGACCTGAAGCCCCACGGGACACGTGCTGGGTGCAGTGATGGTGATTTTAGGGTTCTCGATGCTGAAGGATCATACGCCCGTTGCCTGGAGACTGCCTCCTTTTTTTTTTTTTTTTTCCTTGCTTTTTTTTTTAGTTATGTTTAAAGGAGAAAAAAAAAATGGTGAAAATGTTATTTATTGGCAGAAATTATTTAATATAATTTCTTTTTTTTTTTTGTGAACAAGGAATGAATTTGTTAGAACTGTCTTAATGTAAATTGGGAGTCATCTTTAAGGAAAAAAAAAAAAAGTTAAAAATTGACACAGTCACTCGGCTCCGCTGTGGTTTATTTTGGGGTGCACTGGGGTGCCTGGCTCCCGGGGCGGAGGGCAGGGCAAGGAGCCTCGCGGGTGCTGCCTGGCTTGCGGGAAGGAAGGGAGAAAGGTTTTGGGGTCTGTTTTACAGCCGCTGCCTCGCTCAGGGCCTCTCTCCGGGGCGAGGGCAGCGCCGAGACAGCGTCTCCCAACCCTCCCCGGCACGTCGGCACTTGCGAAGTCGCTCCCGGGCACTTTTGTTGGAGAGCTCTTGGCTCCCTCTCCTCGCCCCTCCGTCCTTCCAGCCGCTGGCTGAGTAAATAACCCTCCTCCTGCTGCCTTCCTGGGTGCCAGGAGGAAGAGGAGGGTATTTGCCAGCTCTTGTTTCACACCCCCTCCCCCCGGCTCCTTCCTCGCCCCTCTTGCTGGGTGCTTCCACCGTGCCGTGGGCTTGCAGGGCTTTGGTGACCAGCCCTGGTGTTCTTGCTGGCCAGGCTCCATCCTGCTGGCTTACAGCTCCGCAGCTGGCCTGGCTCCCCCGGCTCCTGCCCCGGGGATCCCCAACCTGTGCCCCGCTGCAGGGCCAAGCAGGAGGACAGGGGACGGCTCCCACAGCCACCCCAGCCCCGCCATCGCCTGCTCCCTCCCTGGCTGGGGAGCCGGGGTGACCTGGCTCCCAGCTGTGGCTGCCACAGATGGCTTCTCCCCTGCAGCACCTCTGCCCGCTGCCGGGGCTGCTTGGGTCAGCATCTGACCGTCTGAGTTTAGCTCATCGCGTGCAACCCCTTTGCCGTCTCTGGCTCCTTCACTGCGGCTCCCCAGGCCCCGCGTGCCGCCGTCCCCGGACCCCAGCTGCCAGAAGTGGCCAGGGTGCCACCGGGGAAGGGATGCTCCGGCTCTCCCACCCCTTTTCCTGGGTGTTCCCACCGAAGAGGGGGGAGCCACCAGGAACCTGCCTCGCACCCGGCATCGCTGCCCAGCCCTGGGCTCCCTGACCCTTGGCGTGGGCAGGGCGCGGTGCCGGTCTCGGCAGCGAGGGGCTCCGGCAGCTGCCCACGACAGCCCTGACCAAGAAAGCATCGCCCGGCCTGGCCGCGCGTTCCCGGCTGGCATCGCCGCGCTGAGCAAACAGGAAACACTCGCCCTTTGTTAATCCTGTCCCAGGCTGCGCGTTAAATATTTATCTGTGAGCGGAGGCTGGTGCTGGAAGCCGGGCGGAGGGAGGCGGAGGGCCAGCCCCGAGGCTGCTCGCCCAGGACGGTGCATGGGGCTGCGGGGGTGAGTCCGGTCCCTGCTGGGGGGGGGAAGCTGGGTCCCCGGGGTGGGCTGCAGCGGCGTGGGGTGGCCGGGACCCCACTGCCCACGGGAGGGCCTTGCCAGCAGGCGCTGTGACCTCCGGAGACGTCACTCTGCACGCAGCGGGCTGGAGGGGACCATCACCCCCTTGGCGGGCAGGGGATGGGGTCTGGGCTCCCCTCACAGGGTTTAACCCTTTCCCCGGGTGCCCGCGGCTCTGCCCCCGGCCCTGCTGCCCTCTCTGCCCTTGTGTCCCCGCGTTTCCCCAGCAGGACCGGCTCCTGTCCCGAGCCTGCTTCCTCCCTGCGGTGTCCCCGGCTTGCACTGGTGCACGGGAGGAGCCGCCCCGTCCCCGCGGGAGCTGCGTCCTCCAGGGCTGTGACAACGGGAAGCACACCCCTCCCCGTCTCCATCGTCCCCTGGGTGCAGCATCGCAGCCTGGCAGGGCTGGTGCCATCGGCCCCTTCACCCCCAGCAGCAGCTTCTGGCAGGGGACGGGTGGCTTGGTGGGGACCGAGGGACGGCTGGTGGTGGGTGGCAGCAAATCCACCATCCTCCCGTGCGAGCTCCCGTGCAGGCAGAGGCCCGAGCTCACATGGGAGCACGCGGGATAGAGGAAGGGCTGGGGCTGGCCTGTTTCGGGGCTGTCAGCAGTTTCGGGGAGCGGCGAGCAGGAAGCGGCCGGCGGGCAAGCGCGGCGGAGGCTGGGCCACGGGTGCTGCCAGAGGGGATGAGGTGGGCTACGGGGCACCAGCAGAGCAGGGCATGGAGGTGTTAAATGGGGGTCCCCAATGCCCAGACCCCTGGGAGATGGAGAGGATGGAGGATCGCCCGTGGGAAAGCAGGCGGCTTTCGCCATGCCCCCCGTGCCAGTGCTTGGGTGGCCGCAGGAGCACGGAGCCCCGCTCCCCACTCAGGTCCTGACCTCTGCCGGGCACTTCCCTCTCCATCCTCTCCCAAAAAGCCCCTCCAAGCCCCCGGCTCCATCCTGGTGGGGAGCACCGCAGCTTGGGGCAGCTGCCGGCGGGGGGCTGGCGGCACTGGGCTCGCCCCATTTCGTAAGCGGGGGCCGGGTGCGCGGGAACGCGTGCGCGGGGCGGATGAGTTCAGCCTCTTGGCTCGCCTCCCTGGATCCCGTCCCTGGAAATGTCACTGGAAACTCTGAATGGGCCGG